AAAATTGTAAAATTATAGTAGTAGGCAATATAATTATTACAAAAGAATGTTATATCTTCTTAATACAAAATGATGCCCTAAATAACTTATGTCATAAACGGTATCCATTATCCTTCATAAACGGCATCTCTGTTGTCATGGACTAATTAAAATTTTTTGTTTGATTAAATTTTTTAAATATTTGTACTAAATCATTCGCAAATGGAAATAAAAAACAAAAATCTTGAAAAAAAATTAAACTCACCAAGATGGAAAAACTCTTATGAAACTTGAAAGTTGAAGCTTCCAACTTGCCTATAAATCGGCTAAAATAATAGTTTGATGATTATGGTGAAGGCTTGAGAAATATCTTGTCATGGGTATTTGATTTGGAAGTGGAAAGGTTACAAAGAAAAAAATAAAAAAAAAACAAGAGAAGAAGCAGAGACAAGAGAATTGAGGATTGAGGATTGAGAAAGTGAAGCAAAACTGCAAATGGTGTTGTTTGGCGTCTAGGGGTGTAGAGAAATCGAGTACCTTGAATCGAGCTCGCAAGTAGCTTGGTTAGCTACTCGACTCTAGCTCGATCAAATTCGGGATCGAGTCGATCTCGAGCTACTCGCTACAATAAACGAGTCGATCTCGAGTAGTTAGGAGAAAGAAATTTTAGCTCGTCGAGTAGCTCGAGCTCGGTAGCATATATGTATTGTATATTATTTTATATATCAATTTACTATTTTAGGTTTGTTAGCTAGAATATTTACGGGCTTAACCAATTATGTTGTAGTAATAATGAAGGCTGAATAAGTAATTTTGGCTTGAGAAATATGATGAAATGATGAAAACTAAAAATGAAAAATGAAAACCCTTCTGTCAAATCCGTCCTTCATTCTTCTTCTTCGTTCCTCTTCACTCTTCAGCCTTGATTCTCAAATCTCAATCTCTCATTCTTTGGCTCATCTTCTCAACTGTCACAAGTCACAACTCACAAGGCAGTTGAGACATCTAAAGCTTTAAACACTTCAGCAGTTCAGCTAATCTTCCTTCTTCTTTCTCCTGGAGCTCAAAATGGAGTAGGTAGCAGCGTGAGCAGCCGACCTTTGAGTAAGAGTTTGAAATCAAATCAAAACCCACCAATTTCAACAGCTGCGTTTGACAAATTGAGGTACTTGTTATGCATTTGTGTAGTAAATATGTGCATTATGAGGTTAAATTTTATAAATGTAATATTAATTTTTAATCTCCAAACCGTAACCGAAAAAATTGGGGGTTGCAGCCTGTGATTCAATATATTTCATTTGCGTATCCCATTCCCTCTCCATTGCTACACTGAAACTTTGAGGAAATGGAGGGCAACTCGATTCCTTCAACAAGCGATTCGGTAGTTGGCGCGACAGCTCCAAGAATTGGTAAGCTTATTGACATTGGCTCTAAACATGTTTGTGGGTTTTTCTTTGATGTGAAAATGCACTGATTTCAGAAATTTGCTTTACATCTGAGTTGGATTATTAAGTGTTAACTAGCTAGTATATTAATGAGATTAATGAGAATATTCAGTTATGTTCTTAAGTAGGTCAGGAATCTGGAGAATAATTTTGATACTATCTTATACAGTTTTATTTAACGCAACAAATTATTCTAGGAATCAGAAAATTTAAAGACAATTTTCAATACTGTTGGTAGTTCCATATTGTCACCCTTTTCCTTTCTTATTTGCCACGAAGGTTGTTACTTTGAAATATGCCTAAAAGTTCTATAAAAGTACTAATAATATAGCCATTCTGACAGAGTATAATGCGTATGTCAAATCCAATTTCCAGCAATATGCAACTAATTTTTGTTGCTTTTTCCTGTTTGGTATGATTGAATGATTGCGACACCGCTGTTCTACCAAAGAGCTTGGTTCTTCAAGTTCTATTTTTGAAGTAATTTCACATGTATTTTGGGTGCATTGACCATTACAATTCATACTTAAGGTGTAAATTAAAAACTGAATGATGAAATTGGGAAGCATAATTACCTCTGTATGTCATTTTTCTCAAGTATTGATGAATTCAGATATGCATACTGAACTTTTTCAGGCTCAACAGTCTTTCTTTATTCAAACTGTTTTGAGTCTCTAGGTTAGTTTTCAAAAACAAAATTGGCAGCTCTCAGTCAAATTTAACATTTGAATTCTTTCAATCTGACTTCTTTTTGTTTGTAAAATTCTGGGTAATATGCTTTTTAGAATTCAAACTATTCTGCTTTTGAGTATTAACACTCATATCAAATTAACTTTTGTTTTCTGTTGTGAGTAATTGCTTTGAGACCAATACACATTTGATTGTGTCCTCTTTACCTTTATTCTGAATTGTTTCATATTTCATAGCATTGAAATATTATGTAAGATCTGAATTTGCTATGAACTTTAGCCCTGATATGAATGTTTTTTGGGAGCTGTTTTCAAGTTTTGGGTGCTTGTGTCATTTTCAATTTCTTCTAATGTCTGTTTGGTTTGAATTTAATGTTCCGTGTGAAAATATTTGAAGTGGAACTCTTTTCAATGTAAATGTTTGTTTTTCTGTTAAAGGCATGTCTATTAGTCCTCTCGAGGTTTCTTCAATACCACATGTGTCTGGGACTGATTCATCCACACCAATTATGATTGACAGCCCAGTATTTGTAAGCCGTGACACTTGTGATCCCACACAAGAGGATGGTGAAACACAACAAGGGGGAACCGAAGACACCAATAGGCAGCAAGGAGATGCAGCTGAAGATGATGGTAAATTTCGCGTACCTAAAAGGAATAAAACATTTGAGGCATGGGAAGATTTCGACGATTTGGAAGAAAATGGCATATATTATGTCATTTGTAAATATTGTAGCAAGAAACTAAATCGGGGAAAAACTAAACAAACCAGCAGCATGTGGAGGCATTGAGAAAACTGTTCCATTAGAAAAGCCAAACTTAGAAAGGCCAAGCAGCAAACAAAGATAAATTCGGCAGGTTGATGAGCGTTTTCCAACTGTACCACCATTGCACATGGGCAAATTCGATATGGAAGTAATGAGAGAGGCTTCTGCACATTGGATCTTGATGCACAAGCATCCTTTCACAATTTTGGAGGAAGAGGGTTTCAACCTAATGATGAAACGCGGGTGGCCGGAGTGGCAGAAGATCTCACGCATAACAGCTAAACAAGATTGTACACAGGTGTACGAGATAGAGAAAAAGAAGTTGAAAAACTTGCTGAGACATATACAGAAAGTCAGCTTGACCACCGATATGTGAAAATCAAATAATCAAAAAATTGAATACATGGTGGTGACCAGGCATTGGATTGATGAAAATTGGAAGCTTCAGAAAAGGGTGTTAACTTTTTTTCATATTCGACCACCACGTCGAGGAGTTGAGATGTTAGATGCAATTTTCAAGTGTGCAAAGGAATAGGGAATTGAGGGAAAAATTCACACTATTTTCGTAGACAATGTCTCAAACAATGATGTGGTCGTGAGATTGTTGAAAGATGATTTCGGTAGATACAAGAAGCTATTAAGTGGAGGAAAACTATTTCATGTTCGTTGTTGCGCCCATGTCTTGAACCTTGTGGTACAAGATGGCTTGAAGGAGATAGTAGATATTTGTGAAAATATTCGAGATAGTGTGGATTTTGTGAACAAATCTAATGGTAGGGCATTGCTATTTGCAGAGATTGCTCAACACCTGCAAATTCCTGGAAAAATATTATTCCATGATTGTAGGACAAGATGGAATTCAACATATGAAATGTTGAGTTGTGCTATAAAATATAAAGAGGTTTTTCCTCGTTTTTAAGTTCGAGAGCCCCTTTATGAGTCTTGTCCATCTTCAGAGGATTGGGAGAAAGTTGAGAAAGTTTGCACCATTTTAGAGAAGTTCTACACAGTCACGCACATAATTTCGGAGAGTGAGTATCCAACTAGCAACCTATTCCTCCTTGAGATTCTAAAAGTGAAGAAACTCTTGGATGCATGAGTGGATGATGAAGATGATTTTGTCCGGGGTATGATTACAAGAATGAAGTTCAAGTTTGACAAATACTAGAAAGAGTGCAATTTATTGATGTCCATTGCAGCTATCTTGGATCCCAGATAGAAAATGCGAGCAATAGAGTTTGTCTTTCCTAAGATGTATTCCACATATAAAGGTCAAGAGAATATCACATATGTTCGAAAAGGCATTTTTGAACTTTATGACGAGTACGTTTCTATGGCTACAAGTGGAAGTATAGGAATAGGTTGTTCATTAAATCCTGCATCTGAAATAGCGTGTCTACCTCGAGCAAGTGCTGACTATTGGGATGATTTGGATAAGTATTGTGGTGAATTCGAATTCGATGAACCCCATAAGAGCGAGTTGGTGGATTATCTAGACAAGCCTCGCCAACCTACTAGACAATTTTTAGATTGGTGGAAAATCGACCGATCAGCATACCTGGTACTCTCTCAGCAAGCAGCTAATGTATTGGACATTCCTATCACTACCATCGCATCTGAGACCACTTTTAGTGCTGGAACTAGGGTGATTGATTCATACCGTGTTTCACTTGCCCCAGAGACAGTCCAGATATTAATGTGTGCGGGTGATTGGTGTAGAAATTTACACGGGGTCAAAAAGAAATTGAAAGTAAGTTACATCTATATAAATTTGTTATTGCAGAGATAAATTAGTACTCCCTCCGTCCCGTAAAATCTGTCGCGCTTGGGAAGCAGCGCTTTTTATGCACAGTAAATTTCACTTGTTTGTAAACCCATGGGTTCCAAATTTGCCCTTCACATTCACCGACAGACTCAAGAAATAAATGGGTCAAAGAGAGACCCATCAAAAGCATTCCATTGTTTCGGCTACCAAAAACAAAAACTCATTTCCTTATCAAAATCTTCTTCATCCAAAACAAATAGGTCAAAATAGGACCCACCAAAAATCAATCCTTTGTTTCAGCCACAAAAATCGTTTCCTTATCAATTGCTACCACAGAAACTGTTTCCTTCTTCTAGCAGACATTCATCACCGCCTACTACTAGAATCTTCTCTGATTCTCCATCGTTAGCCATTCTTCAATTGCTGCAAATTTAAGCTACGATAATTTCTCTGAAATAACTACAAATTCCCTCTTCTCATACTCCATATTCACTTGAAAGTTTTCACCTTTGATTACAATATTGGTGCTCCAGTTCAAGAGAGAAGCATTGGAAGGATATGAAGTTGATTGCTAATCCATCGTTGATAACAAATGAGATTAAAAAGTTAGTTAACTGTCTTTTATTCTTTCTTTTTAATGGTTTTTTTCTCTTTTCTCATGTAAGAAAAGCTGGATCTTTTAAACTTTTGTAATGTTTATTTATTGATTATTTTGTCTATAATTTCTTAAAGATTTGCCGCCAAATTATTTACTGAAAATTTGGATTTTGGCAGATTACTCCAAAAACAAGTCTTGAAATGCCTATTTTAAAATATTTAATGGAATTGTACACTGATTTGTACCTCTATATATGCAATCCGTTTGTTTTGTTTTAACACTCTGTTTCTTTTTTTTTTACACCATGTTTCAAAGGTGATTCTTAAAAGAAATATGGATACTTTTAATGATATTGAAACTAATAATTCTACGAAGAGATTAACTAATCAAGAAAGGTAAATGATTTTTGAAGCTTTATTACAGGAAAGTAATGGCGGTAAATTGAAAAGGGGAACCATCAGGAACATTGCAAGCCTATTTAAAACAAGTGTTAGGACAGTTCAGAGAATTTGGAAGCTAGCAGCAATTACTTCTATAGATGGAAGAGTTGATGTATCACGCAGATTTTCTAAAAGATGCGGAAGAAAACGAGTGGATATTGATTTTACTTTGATTATGGCAATTCCTCTCCGGCGCCAGACAAACATCAGGTCACTTTCCAGTAAAATGAAAGTGTCCAAATCAACCCTTCACCGACGAATTAAAGAAGGTGCTATAAGGCCACACTCAAATGCACTCAAACCACAATTGACAGATCAAAATAAGCAAGTAAGGCTTAACTTTTGCTTATCAATGCTTGAACCAGAAAGTCTCAATAGCAATCCAACATTTATGAGTATGTTCAATGTTGTGCATAGTGATGAAAAGTGATTTTACATGACTAAAGAATGTGAAAAATATTATCTTCATCCTCAAGAAGAAGAACCTCTTAGGACATGTAAGAGCAAAAAGTTCATTGTGAAAGTTATGTTCCTAGCTGCTGTTGCTCGACCACGTTTTGACTGCTTTGGTAACCCAACATTTAATGAGAAAATTGGAATTTTTTCTTTTGTATTCAAAGAACCAGCAAAGAGGAATAGTAAAAATCGTATGGCAGGTACATTAGAAACTAAGCCAATATTGTCAGTGACCAAGGAAGTATATAGGAGATGTTTAATTGAACAGGTTTTGCCTGCAATACATGCTAAATGGCCACGGGATGGTGGTAGTGTACTGAAATTTTGATCCAACAGGATAATGCAAAACCACATATTAATCCCACTGATCCTGTATTTATTGAAGCTGCTTCTAGAGATGGATTTGATATTCACTTGTCATTTCAGCCTCCTAACAGTCCGGACATGAATATTCTTGACTTGGGATATTTTAGAGCTATACAATCCTTGCAACATCAAGAAGCACCCTTGTCAATTGATTAGCTAATTCTTGCTGTGGAAAAGTCATTTGATCAATTATCAAGTGAAAGTCTAAACAATGTTTTCTTAACATTGCAATCATGTATGGTAGAGGTGATGAAAAATCTTGGGGGAAATAACTATAAAGTGCCACACATTGGGAAGCACCATTTAATGAAAGAAAGTTGTCTTCCACTGCAAATAGAATGTGAAAAAGAACTTGTGAATCAAGTTCTAAGTCATATGCAAGCATGATTATCTTTATTGGACAGGTAAGATTTTATAAAGCTTTTTTTTTTTAAAGATTTTTTATCTCTAATTTCTTGTGTGTATGGTTGTTTAAACTAACTAGTGTTCCTTATTTTCATATTTGTAGGTACTTAAACTTTACTAATCATGTGTTTTGAACAAAATGGTATGGGTGTTCTAATGTGCAAAATGTACATGTACTCAATGTTCATTTGTCTAGCTATTCTTGTTCACTTTGCTCTGGAGCATCTTTATTTGTTGTTTATCACTAAATTGTGTCCTATCTCATCTTTTGGCAGATGGTTGAAGTCAAGCAATCCAACCCTTTTGATTTTGTGGTGCAAGCTTTTGATTGAGCAAAGAATATAGAAGCACTTTTATGTAATAGTGGTTTTTCATTGACTGCTTTTATTTCACTTTACAAGATTTTAGAATAGCTCAGTAAAGTTAGCTTGACGTTAGTAGTAGTAGTGCTGATTTTTGTACAAAAGGGAAAATGTGCAATGCTGAGTGAAGCTATGTACATGTATAAACATTGAAACACTACTTTTGTTGGAGTTTTTGAAACTGTCAATTGCATTATTCTATAAAGGGGAAATAGTGCATATTGGTTTGCATTCTTTTGTTATTTGGTGGTAGAATATCTATTTTTGCATTTTTGAGTTTTGAAACATTAAAAAAAAGAGAGGAATTGACACTTCCATAGACTACGTTTAAATTAAATTTGGTAGTGAGTGTAGTTTTTTTTCTCCAAGTAGAGTAGCATGCCTTATTATTTTGCTCATTTAGTTTTTGGGTCAATCTAAAATTATTCACCTATTTTTTACACTATTTTCTTGCTTTCAATATGAATTTATTTTGTGAAAGTTGATCATTCTTAACAAATTAGTGCGTATGAAAATAATTTAAAAATTTAAAAATTGAAAGCTTTCAAAAGAAAATCACTAATTAAATCATCTCGATATTCTATTTCCTGCAAAAAATCGAAATGATCCTCTTGATAACAAAACCAGTTTTCAATTGAAGTTTAAAAGAGTCATGTGCACATTCTTGATGATGAATTTGGCTGGAGTCGGAACTTTGTTGCTGGAGCCGAAAGTCAAATATGGTACAAGTTGGAATATTTGGATGTCCTTTGGGACCACACATCAATTTGTGGGCCAACTAGCACATGCATTATCACACCATTAATGGAGGGCAGAAATGGAAATTCATAGCTTAAAATAGTTTGAAATGTCAAACATGACAAATATTTTGGGACAGCCCAAAAAGAAAAGTATGACACTATCAATGGGACGGAGGGAGTATTTATCAGTTTATTTGTTGATTTTAAAGTATTATATTTATTTGAATTTCCATCACCTAAATGCAGCCACATAAAGCTCTTAAAGAATATGAATTGCCCAATGTTTGAAGTTGCATAAGGAGCAAATAACTTGCTGGAAATCAGGTCCATCTTTTTTGTGAATTCTCATTTTCTTATTCTTAATTTACTTTAAGTTGTGTTCAAATTTTAAACTTAAATTGTACATAAGTTGGTTGATTTGTCATTTGTGTATGGTTAGGTGTTGTAGATTGTACACTGAAGTTTGAAATGCATAAGGAGCAAACAAGTTGTTCGATTTACCAAATTACAAACAGGAGCTTCTAAATGCTCATTAGACTCCAGATAATTTCCCTAAATTTTTCCTTTCAATTGGTTGCACTTTTTTTTTTGTATTTTTGTGAAATTCTGATGAGGTTGAGAATAGGCTGTTGCTTGTGTATATTGCTGAAATGTTAACATGGATCATGGCCACTTAGTTTCTGCATGCGTATGGTTTTTCTTTAATCTGCCTGCCCTTTTGTTTCTCATTGGTTTCTCTATTGCGGAATTTCTGAATTTTGGAAACTAGAATTCTTGAATCTTGATCATGGTCATACTTGGTTTCTGGTTATTGGTTGGAATCTTGATCATGGCCGTGAGGTGATTGGAAGTAGTCTAAGGGCCGTGAGCCATGCCATGATCAGGAAATCAATTTAATTCGATTTCTGATCTAATTTGATATTTCTCAGTTGTTTGCTTGCTGTGTGTGCTGTCTAAGGCGAACTTGCATGGAAGGATTTATTGGCCGTGAGGTGCTTGTCCTTCACAGTCCAAAGAAGCAATGGCATGCTTCTAAGTCTTGTCCATGTGCTTGGCTCCAAGACTTTAATTGGCTTCTAAGTTTTGTTTCTTTGCATTGCAATTAATCTTGTTCAATTGATATTAATGTACTTTAATTCGAATGTTTAGTGCAACTTAGTTTATTGTTTAGTACAAATTAGTAGTCTTGCATTTAAGATATAAAGATTTTCTTTAGATCATTAGGAATTGTGCAAGAACCAGGATCAATTCGAGCTCATTCGAGCTCGAGTACTCGACTTGGTATCGAGCTCGAATGACATGTTGAGCTCGATCGAGTCAAGTTCAAGTTCGAGTCTGCATATGCTATTATCGAGTCAATCTCGATCTTTATTTCTCGAGCGAGCTCGAGCTCGACCTCTGGTGGTCTGCGTTGAACTCGAGCTCGAGTACATCGCTACTCGAGCTCGACTTGACTCGATTTCACCCCTACTGGCGTCTGCTATGTCTTAGTGCTAGGATTTTTTTTTAATCTGATTTTTAGTTTTTCAATTAAAATAAGTAAAATTCTATACAAAATATGCTTGTCTAGTGTTGTAGTTTAGCAGTAACAAGTCTTTGTTATGACTGTGGAAACTTGGATTCAAATCCTAACAACCCAATTCTTCTTATTGTTTTGAGTTTAGGGTGAATGTTTGAAAATTTTAAAAAATTGCCGGTTTATGGTCTAAATGGTTTTTAACGGTTCACCCAGTTCATCCGATTTTCAACGATTTTTCATTAATCTTCAGCTTTGACACTAGATCGGACCGGTGACATATCTGGTTCACGGTCTAATCGGGCAAACTGACCGGTCTGGTCCAGTTCTAAAAACATTACGAAAAAGCAGAGCAGTGAATAATACATGCGGCATAGAGAAGAGAATACCTCATTTTCCAGTTTCCAATAGCAAAAGTCAAAGACTACAGTGAAATGACCTTATTGGATAGATTGAAAACGGTTAGTCCATTCAATAAGCACCTACAAGGAGAAAAATGTAATTAAACAATTCAAATAATATTGACTGAGAGAACATGAGCATCAAATCTCATTAATGTAATAGAATTACCATGGGTCCACTAATATCCAGTTGAGCCTTGTAAGAAGGACAAAATTATAATATGACCAAAAAATAATGTACTAGATAGTTGTATAACGGGCTTAAAATATAGTACAATAGATATAAATTGACTACACAGCCCCCATGATAAGTATATAAAAAGCACAAACGAGATATTCCCCAATACAAAAGCATAAGGCAGTTATACCAGCTCCAACAAAAATAACAAGCAACAAGTTGAAATGACAAAAATACCCTTGGGGAGAGCAAATGAAAACCAGTGAACAGTAACCCAAAACGTCTTCTTATATAGTATAAGGATAAGAAAGTCTCACATGGTGAGATTTTCTATATACTCTTAACGTAGTAAAAGAATACGAAAAATTTAAAGAAAAAAACTAAAAGAAGAAAAATGAAATGACATTCGAATCATTAAACTCCAAAATTTTAAGAAAAATTGTAACTAATATCTATCAATAGTAGTCCAATTTAACAGCTACAATTTAACTATTCACCAAGTAAAAATATCCAAACAAAAGAAAGCCAAAGGTTTACCTCTAAATTTTTCATTAAAGGTGTTTGAATACCATCCATCTACACTAGAAAATTAGAATTCTAAGCATTAGAAGCAAAGAAAATCTGAAAGCAGCAAAACCAACAAAATGAATACCCATTCCACAGGCACAACTTTTCACAATATGACAATATAAGTAAAAATTTCTTTTAGAAACAAGAAATACATATGACCTTGCAAATTTTCTTATAGGACTATATACTTGATACGAATATCAAGGTGACGTGTATACCTTATGAAAAGTAGATGTAAGGGCCTGAAGCAAGCTATATCCTTCTCCCAAGTTCATTGGGTTCCTGTTTTTCTCCTTTTCCATCTCCTATTTCTCTGCTTCTTGCATGTCCAAAATACCAATAAGGAAAAATCTAAACCTTTTTTTTTCGAAAATCAAGAAAGCAAAATCAAGAATATAATCACAAAATCAATCCCTTTTGAAAAAAAATTGTAAAAATTAAATTCCTTTTTCTGCAAGAGAAGAACCCATTGAAAAATTGGAACTTTTTTGTTAAAAAAAAAAAACCAACAACAAAATCAAAATTTTTGAAAAAACAGAGACCTAATAGGAATTAGAATCCACAAAGAAATGAGAAACAAAAATCACACATTACAATCATAGGGGTAGAGGCATCTAAATGTATCAGGCTACTTGTTTACTTGGCCCAAAAAGCATCTCATCAAGACAATTGAATTTACCATATAGAAGTGATGCACCCAATGATGAAAATGAACCATAAGATAATATGCAAATAGAAAATATCAATCTTATCAAAGCATTTGAGAAATTTTGGCTTGCAAAATAATGTGACAACTTATGTTGCATGACATAAAGATAGTATGGCAGGTTATGATGCACTATATTTCCAAAATTTAAATAGTAATAAAATCTGAGAAGATAGAAAGATACATCTTTCAAAAGCTTATGAGCTCTTTCATGATCATTTACGGCAAATGCATCAACAGCCTGCCCAAAAACCAAGAATCATCTATTTCGATTTAGTTTTGTTCAAATTTCATTATGTAGTTATAGAAGACAAGACTAAAATGTAGTTGGTGCAAATGATTAGAAAAGAGAAAAAGATATGAAATTACAGCTTTATAATACTCTTTCATGGTAGTCCAGTACTCCATCACAACTTTTCGCAAGACATCATAGCTATTCTCATTCTCTTCATTACCTAGAATTGGTCCAAAGAGTAATAAGATTATCATAAACTTCTGTGATAAAAACATATACAAATTAACCAAAACAAATGATTTTCAACATGATGACATAGAGGTGAAGGAGCGTACTGTTTTCACTAACTTGTTTTGTTCTGATGACAGGTTCATCTTCTATTACTGTCTCTTTTAGATGCTCTTCTGCAATAAAGTGGTGCAATGATGATCTCTTGACTTCTTTCATTGGACGATACTTCTTATGCTCAAGCTCTGGTCTTTGACGAATAGTAAACAGGGTACCTAAAACTTCTTTTGGAAGATCATGCCTGTTTCTCCTGTCAGCCATGTGCTCCACATTTCCAGTGTCACGAGCATAATTCAAATTGCATTAGGTAGAAATGAACAAAATTCGATACCCAGTTAAGTGATATAAAGAAGATGTGGGTTAAAGGTGCTCTATATCCCAAATCTATGGCTTTTTCAGCAGTATATCATACCTTTTAGAAGAAATGCATAGGATTTGGTCCTCAGGTAGCAAAGATACCATGTTGCGATATCCTTGTTTTGGCTGTGGCGAAACATCAAAAAACAGGGAGTGACATGAAAATCAAATCACCATAAATATTGAGAAAAGTACAATGCCTTAGGTATTCAATAAAAAGATAGATACTTAAACTCTGCTTCTTACTTTTACTTCTTGCGGTTGAAGGAAAGGGTTGGGGTCGATATCTTATTAGGCACTTGAATATTTTAGTTAAAACAGGAAAAATAAAAGGCTATCATCACGACCTGGTTATGATAAATAGGAAAGAACGCATAACTCTTTATCTACACCTACACCTGCTACGGACAAAAATACTCTAGACTATATTAATTTGATTTAGATATACCATACTTTCTCAGATGATGCTTTTAGAACATCATTGCTCTTCCCCAGAGTTGATGCAGACAAATCCAAAATTTTATCCATGCTCTACCCTTTTCCGATCTTCCTAAATCCATGCAAGTTGAAATCAAAGAAGGCAAGAAGAAAACTATATAAATTTGCAAGTTCAAAAACATGCAGGCATACACAAAAAATTTGCAGAGAAGCAAAGCCACAGATAATAACATAAAGAGCCTCCAATCGTTCACAAAAAACTTAACCAAACTAAATTTCACAAAAACAAAAACCAACCTAGAAGTCAGATCAGAAGACCAAATGATGAGTAAACAAACACAAAATAGAAGAACAAAGAGCTGCTGAGAAAAGAACGAAGGAGCAAAAATGTGAATGGTAAAATTATGTCTTTCAAAAGAGCAAATAGAAAATATCAGCTAAAAATATCATGTTAGCCAAGAACCAGGGATAAATAGTCCAACCGAAGAGCATCTCAGAGGACAAAGGTGTAATTAAAGCCTAAACAATACTATTCCTTGACCTCGTCCATCTTATCTAATTAATACATGCATAGGCACAAGAAACCACCTCATTTGCTGCCCTCATTTAGACGATGCATTTAAAGGCCACAATAGTCATTCTAGCCAAGAAACATGCAGTTACCTCCAGTACACAATGCTATACAAGCAGCAGCCACCGAACCAAAAGGACAAAAACACCCCCGGTAGGAGCAAATGAAAAAGGCATGTACAGTACCTCAAAACGTCTTCTTATAATGTATAAAGAAATAATCCTAAACCTATAGATATGTGCCATTTTCTCATGAGAAAATCAACATTTAATCATTTTGAAGGTAAAATCGGCTCATAAAAGTACATATGGGAGGCATAACTATAATTAAATTAAGATTTTAAGATATTTTAAAGACTAATTTTGTCAATTCACTTGCAGACTCTTTTATCTTTTCAAGGAAAAAATATATTTTTCATCCCCGTTGTGTAGGATTGGACCAATATGACACCTATTGTTTCAACATATATACATTTCATCCTTTAAGTTTCAAATTTTGACTAATTAGACACAATTGATGTTTAAAAACTCAATTTGGTAGCAAGTGTTGTTCGATCACTTAATTCAGATGAAACAAATGCGTGATAGACACCCAGTGTTAGTAAAATAACCTATGGGAGACAAGATTCATCTGACAAAATTCATTAGCGAAATTTTGAAAACAATGTGGATAAATGTGCTAAATGGCGGATTAAAGAATCACAAGGAAGGTGAAATAAATATAAATTTTGTTACCCCATGACTTTTTACTAACTATGCCCATTTCTCACGCATTTGGGTTAATTCCATTTTGTCCTCTCAAACTATACACGAAATCCCACTTCAATTCTTGAATTTCAAAATGGGACACTTAAATCCTTAAACTATAAAATCTAATCTACTTAAATAAAATCCGTGACAGAATCCAAAAAATTGATGGTAGCTTAACGATGTTGGGGAGGGGGGGGGGGGATGATCCATTAGTGTGTATGTGGAATTGTTATAAACCAAAAAAGTAGGGATATAAAGGTATTTTCACACCTTTTTTTTTCTTTTTCATTTTCATTTTCCTATTCTTCTTCTTCCTTTATCCGCCACCACTGACATCTCCAATCCTATGCTTTTGTTCAATGGCCTCCTAGCATTTTTCATCTCTTATTTACCAATCCAAAATAGTTTCCGTCAAATCCCACTTCATATTCCAAATCTGCAACCGTATTCCAAAAATCGTCGAAGTCTCACAAAATACATGTCTAATCCGACCACTAAATTTCTTGTCAAATTCACTTCCATGAAATTCCTTTTCGTTGAATTCAAATTGTTCCTGGGCCGGCTATGATTTTTGCGACATCTGCAGTAGTACTCCTAAGGGGCCGGTGGTGAAGTGGAAGACAGACTTAGCATTTGCTAGCTTCATCCTGCTATTTGCAAGAACCCTGCTTCATTTCTTACCAGAATCCCACAAAAATGATATGGTCAAAGACTCCAAGAAGCAAGGCGGGCTTATCAATGCTGGTGGCGGTGAGCTAGTTGATGTCAAGATGATTAAGGGATTTAGTGTCAAAAACTTTTTTTGGATGGAAAGGCAGCCGTCAAAATACTGGTATGAGCCACTTCTTAAGCTGCCATAATCTGGATATGTGATGAGGAGGGCTAGTCTGACAAGGTACAAGCAATATTGGGTTAGTGATGGTAACGAAGATGATGATCTCTTGGCAACTAGAGCAACTTTTCAAGGGGCTGAAGAAAGGGTTTTTGGTGAACCTACAGCAGAATTGTTAAGCAAGAAGAAAATGTGTCAGGAGGAATTTTCTTGGCTAGAAGTTTAGGATTCCTCTAACATTCAAGGAATATTTAGTAGTTTTGCGTTTCAAATTTTGAGTCCACGTATTTTCACTAGGTTAATGGGGGGCAAAGAATGGTAAATTTGCACTAGATTCTAATAAATTAGCCTTGTGGTTTATTCTTAGTTCCTGATTTTCTCCTTTCTTTCACTTTATCTATTCTGCCACTTAGCATGAGATTTTGTTTCAAATGTAAGTTTAGTATCTTTGTAATTCGCCATGCTTGATCATCATTTCTTTCAATCTTGCTTAGACCATTATTTTTGTGTTTTAAAACAAAATATCCTTTAATCATAGGCATTTGCATTGGTATAATTAGAGGAATGAAGAGGCAATAGCCTCGAACACATTGCAACTCAGCCTCTGCAGTCGCTTCTGCATTGTGGAAGAGCCTCTAAAAACTCCTCCACCAGAGGTTGCAGGATTGGAGTTTCCTGGAGGAGCTTCGGATCTGTCCTGGGTTCTCATCAAAACTTGCTCCACCATGTCCTCATCTGCACTTGCTCAACTAGTCCAACATTCTAAAGCTGCAGCCATGGCTTTTGTACAAGTAGAACTGGAACTGAAAGCCTGATAGCATTAGTATCATGCCGTAAGCATAGACATATAAGAATAGAAGCTTTTGAAGGTTGTTAAAGCTTTGTCTTTTGGAGATATCTTGATAATAGTAGCAATAGGATTGGAACCGTCAGTGGTGGTGGATGAGGGAAGAAGAAGAATAGGAAAAAGAAAAAAAAAAAAGGAAAGATGAGGGAGAAGGGAGAAAAAGGTGTAAAATTACCTTTATGTCCCTATTTTTTGGTTTATAACAATTACACATACATAATGATGGAGCGTGCCTCCCACACCTCTAAGACACCGTCAATTTTTTGGATTCCGTCATGGATTTTATTTAAGTGGGTTAAATTTTATAGTTTAGAAACTTAAGTGTCTCATTTTGAAGTTCAAGGATTGAAGTTGGATTGCGTGTGTAGTTTGAGGAGACAAAATGGAATTAACCCCACACATTTTATTATATCCAAATTAAGTGATTAAAACATTCAATTTTAGCTCAAATTAGGTGATTAAATGTCAATTGTTCTAATTGGTCAAAAATCAAAACTTAAGAGACAAAGTGTGTTTTCGCTGAACTAATAGAGTCCAAATTGGTACAACCCCCGAACAATGGGATGAAAAGTGCATTTTCCCCGTCTCTTTAGCTTCATAAGACATTGCCCGGTTACCGTTGATACGTAATTAAAACCATGCCGGCTATTGCAAACCCATCCCTCCTTATCCTCCACCACCACCACCACCTCCACCTCCACCTCCGTCCACGGCGGTTCGCCACCGGTCTCCTCCCCCAAACTCTTCTGTCTCTACTCTCCTCATCTATTCGAGCTCCCACATTGAGACCTCACTCTACTTCATCTTCTGCACAGACTCAGCCACTCTCCACTGACAATGCCCGAACTGGCCGGTCCGGTTCAATCTCTTCTCCTCCGGTTCAACCGGACATAGCTCAGAAAATCGACATTAATCCTCCCAAAGGTACCCGCGATTTCCCCCCTGAAGACATGCGGCTTCGCAATTGGCTCTTTAACAACTTCAAAGAGGTATTTAACTTTTGCTAAGAAATTGAAAGTTTTTTGTACTGCGAAGAAATGTGTGCAAAATTATTCAATAATTGACGTTTGATAATATGATAATGCATGTGGGTAAAAATTAGCTGGAAAATGACTCTAATTTGATTTTAAATTATGGACACTTTCAGCTAAATATAGGAACTTTTTTCCTGTATACTAGTTTTGTTGCATATGGTATGGTAGCTACACTCTAGGAGAAGATATTACTTTGACCGGACTTGAATAGCTGGTGGAATCGAACATGTAGACACTTTTGGAGAAACTTAGGAACTTTGTGGTGAAGTAGTACTATTGTTGTATAATCCGACGTGCCGGAGGAGCTACGATGAATAACATTTGGGACTACTGAGGAATTGAAGTTATTAATAATGTGTAAATTCTGTTTTAGTTCTCTTTCCTTCATCTTGGCAGGCATGTATTTGATGTTTGTATATGTTTCTAATTGGTAGTTTCTTTTTCTTTTTTTTTTTTGGTTTAAGATTAGGTTTCACAATTATATGGGTTTGAAGAGGTTGATTTCCCAGTGCTAGAGTCAGAGGCTTTATTCATCAGGAAAGCGGGGGAGGAAATTAGAGAGCAGGTTTGTCTTTGAGGTTCTTATTGTTGTTTTTGTTGTATGATTTTTTATTTCTCTTTTAATATTTAATATGGATGTTTCATTGATTTTCTTAAAGCATGGTTACACGGATGCTTGATATAATACTTGGAAAAACAAGCCAAAAAGTAAGATATTGACAAAAGACATGTAATATTTGCTATACAGCGGTGAATACTGTTTAAAATTGCATTGCATCTATTTTACCCTTGTCCCTAGACCATTAATTTGGGCCGCAGTGTTTGTAAGTGCATGTACCCCTTTCTGTCTGCTTCATGCCTTAGCCATTCTGAGCACAATCATAGTTCTGCTTTGCTATGACCCAAAGTAAAAATGTATTTTTTAAAGTAAAGAGTAAGAAGAAAAAAATTAAGCCAGATAAAATTTGAAAGACTCTGATATTTATTATATCGCAATTGTATGAGGGAAAATTAATTCAAATTTGTTTTCATTTGTGCATTCAGCTTTACTGCTTTGAGGATCGGGGAAACCGTCGAGTTGCATTGAGGCCTGAACTTACTCCTTCCTTGGCAAGGCTTGTGATACAGAAAGGGTACTTGAATTCTGCTTTCTGTTGATTTAAATATTATACAGGATGTTGTAATTATGTAAACTTTCTTGGCCTTATTGACTCAGGAATTCTTTTAAAATGCATTTATGTCATCTATTGTTTATTTATGTTTCATTGATGATTTGTATCCAGGTACAGATGCCAGATTTTGATCTCCATGTTTTTTTCTGTCCAGAAAATCTTTGCCACTTCCACTAAAATGGTTTGCTGTTGGACAGTGCTGGCGTTATGAGAGAATGACCAGGGGCCGGCGTCGTGAACACTACCAGTGGAATATGGATATTATTGGCGTTCCTGATGTTACAGTATATCAACTGACTCTGCTTTTCTTGTTCTCAATTGTGACTGAGATATCATTTTATTGAAATTTTTATATTTAGGAATTCATTATTTTCTTTACATTTGATGAAAGAGTGTTATTCTTTCATCGCTTGATGCATTTAGGCTTATGGGTTATTGATTATTAAATGAAAATCTAATAGTTAGTTGAGAGAGTTCTTTTTTCTGCCTCACTAGTTTGTTTTGTTGATTCAGCAGTACTGCAGACTGATTGTTTAGAAAACTTACCAGACTGAATCTCTGTTGTTTCCATCATAGTCATGACTGATGAGATTCTTTAGTCAAAATTTTAGACTTCTTTGTACCTTTTAATTTTAATGATGTGATGATATTTCATTTAGGGACTGCTAGTTACTCCACTGAGAAATCAACCTAGATATTTATGGTGGTTTTGAATAAGCTACAATGAATCTCCATGTTGGGGCCCTTTCTTAGTTCTTCTCTTAGGGCTTTCCTGTAATCACTTCTATTTTTTGTTTGTCACTGTTGTAATTTTTTTTTCGAATTCAGTTACTTGAAGACAAAGAAATGCTAATTTGATGATTGTCTATTGTTAATTTATCCAAGCGAGTGACAGTTCGATTTTCTCAAGTGCAACATTAAATCGAAGATGCTGTTTTGGATGGTTTATCAGGAATAATATTTTTAGTCGTGAAATGGCTTCCACCAAGTGAATTTTTTAAGCCTGTCAGTTTGAGAAGTTGTACAATTGTGAATCTGGTGGACTGTTAGTTTTTCTTCTGCATTTATTTGCTCCCAGAACAACAAAGGAAATACCCTAGGAGAGTAAATGATGACACTTAACTCAGAAAGCACATTCCAATTAAATTGCGCAAGGGGAAGGAATCATTGCTTGAGACAGAATTGAATACGCAATTAACATGATTTCTCTTGCCCTTGAATTTTACTTAGAGATTTCCAGCTAACAACTTGGACTAGTAGTTTTCCAATTCCTTTGAAAAGTTTGTTATTACAGTTTCTCCATGTCTGTCAAGAAGATTGCTTTTTGGACTAGTTGGGGATTATTTAATCACTTATATGAGTAGGGCTGTTTACAACCAGTAACTTGGATATAAGAACTATGGCCACTATTCTAGGCCTCACCATGTTTCATATGTGTACCAAGTAAATGCAGCTTAAGGAGTTTTTGGACAGTGACCTAATCTTTTATAAGAGCTTAATTCTCTTTATTGGTTGTTATAGGCTGAGGCTGAGCTGATTTCATCAATTGTCACCTTTTTCAAGCGCATTGGTATCACCGCATCTGATGTTGGGTTCAAGGTTTCCAGTAGAAAGGTGAGTGAGTTCTGTAGGTCTTGCTTCCTCTAAGCTTTGCAGGTTGCACTTACTGGAGAATAGCTCCATATTCAGAGGCCATTATTTGGAAAAGTTCATTTGAACATTCTCTAAACACATTTTTCAATCTTCCCTTTCAGTTTTCATTATTTCACAAATGAATTTCATTGGAGGTAGTTAAATTTAAGTGAAATGAGTGTGTTTGCATAGCAGGTTATTTGGGGTAATTTCTTGAAAAAAAATACTGTAGCACTCTTTTGATGTGATGTATGTGAGATAAAAAGGTGATTGGAAAATGTGTTTATTATGCAGGTAAATAAATTTGTGTAAATAATTTGCAATCCAAACACATTTGTATGGCGTTTGCTTTTGGTGTATGCTTCCTGCTATCATGAAAATTTTGTAATTGCCATCCTGTAGTGATTGTTTTTCCAATTATTACCTTCTAAGGCAATTTGACGCTTTATTTTGTATTAATATTATTGCAATTTGGATGAAGTTAGTAACTGTGTTGAAGGCCTCATTTGGTAGTTTCTTTTTTGGTGTAATTTTGTGATACTTTATTTCCTGAGAAGCTGTTGATTCCTACAAATAGAGTATTAGAAGAAATATTTGGTTGGAGAGAGAGAGAACAGAAAATAAGCTCAAGCACAGGGAAGGAGATTTTTTATTTTTCGTATACATCTCTATCTTCTTAAACATTTTAATTTTTTTATGCATTGTAATTTACTAATTATTGAGCTATACAAATCTACCTGCAATTTATGGCCTGATTCCTGCATTTTTTTGATTAGTTCCATACAGCCTTGATTGATATTATGTGTTAATTCCTGCAGAACACTGTTCATTATGGACAGATGTAATATGTATACTGATCTATTTTTTCTTTTTTGGGCCAAAGTTTGAGTTCTGATTGTTTAGTGCTTCTATAGGAATCTGAAGAAATAGAGGTTCCTGATTCATCTCTTAATCTTTTGAAATCTATTCAATAGCTTTGATTTTCCACTGAGTTTTTGGAGTACTTAAACATGACCTTTGACTCTAATTTAATAGACATAAGAAAAAAATATATCTGCTTCAGTTAGCTATTTGTCTCTACGTACTCACAAGGTGTTGTATGGCACCACAGTTCAATGATTATTTAGTGATGTTGGATAAGTTTGAGATGCATATTACCTGATCTGGTATTTCTTGTTGGAATGGTGATAAGCATGGTATTTTTCAGATCTTATTTGAAGTATTTCTTGTTTCTTTAACAAACTGGCAGATGTTGCTGCCTATGCGTGCCGTTCTGTAGCACTAATATTGCTGAATTTTCTTGCAGGTTTTACAGGAAGTATTAAGAGGATACTCTGTACCTGATCATTTATTTGGTAGAGTTTGTGTCATTATAGACAAGGTCAGACAATGCTGTATCTGTTACTATGCAATTTCTCCTCTTCCAACTTTCTGATGAAACGACTGATGATACTTTTCTGCTTATAGCTTCTTACAAGCTGGATTCTTTCAGCATGATATGGTAGTCAGTGTATTCATGTAATCAAACCTTTTTTTTTTTTTTAAACTTCTGATAGTGGATCTGGGTTTCAACTGGTCTGACCATTAGGTAACTAAATGCTCATTTCCTCTTTATGTTGAAAATGGAAGTTTTATCCTGGCTGTTCTTATCGGTTAATAGAGGGTCTAGAAAGGTTGTATGGTCAGGTTAAGAAGGCTAGAAAAATTGTTCGGGGCTTGTGGATGAGGAAAGCTTGGATAGAAAGAGTTTTCTATTTCAGATTAGATTGTTAATTTGTACCGTTTACTTGATAAATTTACATCTTTATTTCCTGTCTATGTTTATGTATCTATGTAAGTTTGGCTGGAGATTTGCATCTTTAGTAATATTTGGCTTGAAACAGATGGAAAAGATTCCAATAGATGATATTAAGAAAGAGTTGAGATCTGCTGAGTTATCAGAGGAGGTTATAGAGGAGCTGCTGCAAGTTCTTTCTGTCAAGTCTTTGGAAAAGTTGGAAGGTTTGGTCACTTTTAACATTTTGATTGTTATCTTGTGCAAAATCATGGATTTGAGGCTGGATACCCTAAACTTTGATTAATAAGGCTTTCTATTGAGAATAAATAGTTAATTTTATCCTCTGTTTACCCCGTCAGCCTTTGAGCCCCTGGCTTTTAAATTAAGGGATTAGTATTTCATGCCAGCTCTAAACAATAACTCTTTTCCTTTTTCACTCTTATTGCACTTGCGGCATTGATTGTTGATGTTGAAAATAAGTAATGTGGGTATGTGGTAGTATAAATCATAAATGCGGATATGTGGTAGTATAAATCATATTCACACTTGTGCCAATCTCTAGGCTATGAAGCTTCAAATTTGCTCTCTTCAATAAAAAGCTTGAAAACTGGTATCATAACAAAAATTTCCTAAAATTTGGGAGTTTATTCAAATATTGCAGGGTGCACTTAGGGACTTGGAAATTTTAAGTGTTACAGAGCTTGTGGAGATGAAATTGAACCATTTGCACCTTTATGTTACTACAAACAAGTTTACCATTGCTACATTAACTATGAACTTGTCTAAAGATGTAGATGCTCTGCAGTTGAAATTGAGCTATTACATGTGGGACTTCTGATTTTAAGGTTTGCTTACCATTTATTTGATGGAGTGAATCAGGTTCTGGATGTAACTTAACTAGAATTTATCAAAAGTGTCAGGCTACTTAGAATGGTGACATTGGTGTTAAGAAATTTAAGAAGGAAACAAGGAAAATTTTTATCTGCAGCTTATACTCTAGGATTGTCCTGAGGACTAGAATTGGAATTTCATTGAACATTTGTTGAATTTTATATTGGACATCTACTGAGTTAATGGAGCTAACAATTTTGCATTTGAAGAGATGGGCCGGGAAAAATAACTGAGCTAGCAATAATATAATGATACAAATATGTGGGTGATGATTAGTTCTACATTTGTTTCTACTGCCATAATTAGTAGTGTACAGTTTTCTTTTAGCTAAGTACCATCATCATGGTAATTTTAATTTTGTAGCTTTTGCCAGTACTATTTTTCCTTCTAAATATTCTATTCCATTTCTGTAGAGAAACTTGGCACAGTGGGGGAAGCTCTTGTGGATTTGAAGCAATTATTTTCACTTGCTGAAAAGTATGGTTACGCTGACTGGATTCAGTTTGATGCGTCTGTTGTCCGCGGTCTAGCCTATTATACTGGGATTGTGTTTGAGGTCAGGTTTTTTAAAATTGATCTCATTTTGCTCTGAACAAGTTTTTCCTTTTTTTTTTTAAACATTATGAAAATTTACTAGTTCAGAGTGTTTGCTTATCTGCTATCCTCATGTTTCATGTGGGATATTGAGTGCTTGTAACAGGGTATATAGCACAATGTAGTATCTCTAGCAAATAGGCTGTTCTTGCCAGATTGGGGTTTGCTTCAGTGGCCTCTGTGATTTGAAGTCTGGAAAGTAATATTTTGGTGATTCACTCAAATTTTATGCTAGTTGAAAAAACAAAGTTTAATATTTGTTCTTTCAATGGAAGTTTAGAGACAGGGCTATGCAGCTTTGGCAGCTACTTTACCTAAAAACAAATTACTACGTCATGCTGTTTTAACTAAAGTTAAATTGATCATTTTATTGCCTCATGACTGGGTAAGAAGCACTTTTGGATTTTATCACGTCTCTCAGCTGTATCATTCCGAGCTTTATTTATCTTTCTTTTTTTTTTCACCCATTAATTTGTTTTGGATTCTGTTTTATTCTTGTAAAAGTCCTCTGAAATAGGGCATTGACACTATATGCCAAGGCACTTAAGCCAAGTACATGGATTTCAAGAACCATTTAGATATGATGGTGCAGTACTATGCTCCATATTTTAAATGTATCCATTAAGGGATGCACATGCTGATCTGCTTGGAAGCATAACAGGTTGTCATGATTATTGTCCGAATGCTAAATTGTGGGGTAGAACAAAACTCACATTTAGAGAACAATCAACACACGGTTCCTTTAGCTCCTTTTTTCTTATGTGACCTGCATACATTTGTATAATTTATGCAATCAAGTACAGCTGCTTAAAGTTAATTGATAGTTGCAGAATATGTACATCTTTGTTGTCACGGACTTAATGATAGTTGTCTACAGGGATTTGACCGGGAAGGGAAGCTGCGAGCCATTTGTGGGGGTGGTCGGTATGACCACTTGCTTTCTACATTTGGAGGTGATGACATTCCAGCTTGTGGCTTTGGCTTTGGGGATGCCGTAATAGTAGAAGTGAGTGAAATTTCCTCTCCCCTTTATGAGAGATTAGCTCTACTTTGTAGTTTGGGCATTGGTGGTAAGCGTCTTCTGCAGTAAGAATTGATTATTCCGCCTCTTGGTGTTTTTTATGATTATAATAATCATTGCCAGAAAATAGAGGTTTACATGTAAATTCAAATTTTAGTGGAGGGATGGAATGCGGTTTTCTATGTCAAACCATAAGGGGACATTTGTCTCCCAGCCTCAACAACATGGAGAAAAAGGTAATCTACCCTAGGTGTTAAACAAATTATGTCACCTCACTTCCAAGAACAGGGTGGTGTGATGATACTTGGCAGAAAGGTGATAAGGGAAAAGAGAGAAGAAAAAACCTTTAGAGAGGTGAGAGATGTGTGGGAAGAAAAAGATAAGAGAGAGGACATTTATTTTGCAAGTGCTTAGGAAAATGCAGAAAGTCAAAAACCATTAATGAACTCTAAGTTATATAAAGAGATTGCATATCTATTTAAAGACTCAAACTTGTATACAATCCAATGTCTTATTGTGATGGGAATTGAAACATTATCTACTGAAATGACCAAAGAAACCAAACTTCAAACAGTATTAATTTAACTCTGTCCAAACATAACTAAATTCTCAGTACTATGAAAAGTAATTATTTATTACTCTAAAGTAAGATTGAAATAATTATTGTTCAATTTTACTCTCCAAGAGCCTTTTTTGCCTGCATTAGGTAATGGAGAGCGTCCAGTATGAGAAAAGTATACATTTTAGTCTACCCTTAATTTATGTTGACTAACAGGTGATTTTACATAAGAAGATTTCAGACTATAATTCTCCTTTGGGCACTGTCTTCTAAATTTCCTTCTTGATTGTTTACTATAAATATATAAAAAAAATAAAAATAAAAGAAGATTCTTAAGAATGAAAACAGTACTTGTCTGAAGCATTAGCTGCCTACGTACTCATCTTAAAGATCAAGTTTTGTCATAGAAGTTGGGAGTTCCTAACATTATATTATTCTTCTTAAGTTGTGGTGACCTAGCTATTTGTTTGGCATTTTGTACTTTCTTGATCTTTTTCTGTAACTCATACGATCATTGTTTTTGCCTATGATCCTCTTTTCTGAAGCCTATCTACATTATGTAATTTGACACCATTGTTTAGCTGCTACAGGATCAATCAACATTCAGCGAAGTTAAAAAAAGAAAAAGGAATCTCATAAAACATGTTTGGCATTCCAATGAAACATGCTTGGCTACGTCTCCCTATTAAGTGGTATAACCCCCTCCTCTCCCCCCCCCCCCAAAAACCACCACCCAAAAAAAGGGAATCTCATTCAACATGAATACTTTATATTTGCTTAGCATTTGGAAACTATATACTCGGAGAGTACTTCTGTCTTAAGATTCTTAAAATATATATTCAATTTTGGGATGTTTTCTTAAGATTATACTGCAAAAGGCTCTTTACCATTAGTGTTTGCTGTCAATTTATTGATGGTCGCATGCATGGTAGCATTTACTCTGTTTCAAATTAGCTGTTATTCTGAACCATCCTACAAGATCTTGGCTTGAGTTTTTCATATACAACTGTATTTGTCATTTAGCTGCTCAAGGAGAAAGGACTTCTGCCAGAATTAAGCCCCCAAGTGGAGAACATTGTCTGCTCACTTGATCAGGATCTTCGAGGCGCAGCTGCTGCAGTTGCTAGGATTCTCAGGCAAAGAGGCCAAAGTGTTGATTTGGTTTTGGAGAATAAACCTCTGAAATGGTACGAAATGATAGTTGGTTTAAGCTTCTTGCAGAGGTCATAGCTAATTTATTAATATTTTGCTGTTGGCTAAAGAAAAAAATTTTGCTTTTAGGAGGAAGAAAATTTTCCTACAAAGTAAAATTTTTTATTATGTACATTTCTTCCATTATTTGATCTTCCTTCCCTGATAGATTTTTACAGCTTTAATTAATAGTTTTATATGTTTGGACATACTAACCATGCAGAATTTCTATTTTCACAGGGTGTTCAAACGGGCAGCACGGATAAATGCACAGAGGCTGATCTTGGTGGGAAGTGCTGAGTGGCAGAAAGGTATGGTTGGTGTAAAAATTCTTACATCCGGGGAACAATATGAGGTAAAAGTTGATGAACTAGAATAGCAAGTGTGGCTGTAGCTAATCAACCAAAGGATTTTTGTAGCCTCTAGTACATTTTTTTTTTGTGAGTATGGTTATAATATTCTTTAGGTATTTTCTTAAGAAAAACTACGACAGGTGATACATCCATCAGAATTACCCTGTTACACTTTAATTGGAGAAAATTGTAATGGTACTTATGGTAATTACCAGCATAATGATCATTCATCTTAAGCTTTATTAACGTGATTAGTTGTTCTGTTAGAGTTTGTGTTCCATAAAGAGCTGTTTATATACTTGTATAACAAAATTCCTTCGCTTCTAATGCATTTACAATCATCGTAGAGTCAACTTTTAGTGTAGGGAAAGTTCTTGAGTGTTCAAACCCTGACAGCATATTATGATGATGATGGTGCTTCTAAGTGTGGCAACATGGTACAGTGAAGCAATAAATTGTAAACGCCAAGGAACTTCACTTGAAGCTTCTTTTTTATTTTATAGGACTGAAAAATTCTCTGATACTTTGGGAATTCTGCTCCAGGGCAAATTGACAAATAGTAGATGTTGATTTCTATTTGATTATATTCGCGATGAAATTACTCTTTTGCTAAATGCGACAGTAAATCATGTTTTCAGTTTTGTTGGCCCATTCATTGTGCTGCAGGAGTGTTTTGTATGCTTGTGTGTATAAAGAATTACGTTTTTCTATAGATGACCAAAAGGAGTGATCTTTTTCCATGCAAGCTCCTGATACCAACTATTGAATCTGCCACTTGAATACATGAAAAACACCCTTTTATCAGCATGCAAAACCTCGATTTACATTTCCTCATGGCTTTGTTGTTCACTTCTCTTCCAATAATTCATAAGCATTGTGCTAGGTTTGTTTGGCTACTGCTCCATGCTGTCTTCTAAATATTATGCCAGTTCTGTTAAAGAGTTTTCTGCTTCACGCTGTCTCAGTGCCATGGCTGTCAAAACTAATCCTTTATGATTTAATCAAATCTTGAATGACTATGGGAAGTTGGTCTGGTGTTTTTACTTGAATTGTTTTGATGTGCTCCCCTCTCTTCATGGTGATTTTGCGTTATAGAAGTTATAAGACCATTTCGCCCCTACATTCGGGTAAAATATCGGTGGTTTAACCAAATTAAGCTGCTTACAAGCCTGATTAAGATGCTTTATGCCTTGAGCTTCGTTCACCCTTGAGGTTTTTGCAGATTGGAAAGGTTATTCACATTACATTTTTTGTCATTTGCATTCTCGCCATTTGTTTTATCATATAATTTAATAAATGAAAACTGTATGATTAAAATGAACATAATTTGATAAATGAAAATTATATGATTAAAATGATAGTAAAAGTGTGATTGACAAAAATGAGAGTACAAATAATATTTCCCTTTATAGATTTATAATCTTGTAGCTGTGAATGAATTCATGGGGTTCCAACTGCTTGAAACAAAATTCTTAAAGCCCAAAGGGGTCATTTTCAATTGGGAGCATATTCTCTAGGGATGTGCTCTTTCAAAAGCTTATCATCAACATGGCCACCATTTGTGAGAGTGTAGTCGCACCCCACAACACAGTCAGAGGGAAAAGCCCATTATTCCCCAGCTGTTTATGATGTTAACCGTTCTCTAGCTTGAACTTGGTGCAGGAGACCCAAAAGACAAAAATTAGACTAAGATTCCTTCTTTAATCAATTATACAAATGTCTTCTGAATCATGGGGAAAGTAGCAAGTAACAGATGAAATGTAGTAATCTTGACTGCAGCTGCAGATTAGAGCTTTAAAACCTTGCACATGAAATTAAATCTAGAAGGTGTGCACTAGTGTATTCCTTTGGTCTAAAGGTGAGCTTTTCCCTCCTAACTCCCTTTGGTTAGTTGGGTCCTCCCCTAGTGCAAGTATATGTAAGAGTAGTGTAAATATTGTCCATTGACAAAGAAAAAAAAACAAAAAAAAGAGAGCATGTGGCGGCATTTTTCTTTCTTTTTATTTTTAAATGGAAGGTTTTGAGTTCAGAATCTCCTACTTACAGTCTTTCTCACCGTACTACCAAATCCTACCCTCCCCCATGCGGCCGCGGTAGAAAAGTCACAAGGCAGCAACATAATCAGCTAAGCAAAAGCAGTAAAGCAGCAACGACCGCTGACTTTCTGATAGCCATCAGCAAAATTGTGTTGATAATGTAAACTTCAAAGAGACATTAATGTACAACTAGTGGGTGGGATACACACTATATGTGTGCATATTTTAGAAAAATAAAAATAAAAAAATTTAAAAACAAAAAATTAGTTAGAGAGATTTTTGGCAGGAGATGCAATGTTCATTAGCGAGCGCATTAGTTAATTGGGGAGTGTAGTGATAGTTATGTAGGAGTGGAAGGTTTTCTAGATAAAATGTGGATAGATAATGGTAAATATTGAAAGGGTAAATGTTAACACTTTTTTGTTAACATCAAACCTTTACTCACGCTCTATTATATAGTAAGATTTTACTTATTAACATATGTTTCAAAGTGTTTTGAAGTAAAGTAGCATATAAAAATTTGTTGATATTACCCTTGACTCATGAAGTCAGCAATTGCCTTTTGGGTAAACCTGTAGAATTACCTTAGATTCTGAGAGTGTGTGTTTATTATTTACTGGTGAAAAGACCCTTAAACTCATGATTGTTTGGGCAATAAACGACTTAATGGAGTTGGGACTCCATCCAAAATTGTCTCATAGCAGACATGTTCATGAAATTGGATGGATGTCATTGATTATAAGACACCACTTTCAATTAGTGACAATTTATTATATTTTTATACGTTATATATATATATATATATATATATTGCATCTATATATTGTGTCAGTATTTACATTTATTTCTATTTTTATGTTCATGTCAGCTGAATATGACAAATACAGAAGTCCAAATTCTCAGTCACCGCCGACTTGAATGCATAAACTATAAAAAAGGAAATCAAAACAGCCTGATTTAATCCATGATCCTACACTAGGAGCTTCGGTAGCAGAGCCTTATTCATATGTAAAGTATGACAACCTTCAAACGTCAATTTTGAAGTTTAGAGTACCTTATTTTGCTTTCTGATTACAATAGAAAGAGTAGGATAATAGAACCAAGGAACACCGAAGGAAGAAGACATGGTGTCACCTCCTTGATGACGGACACTTATCCTGATTATTAGTTTATCAGCAGCCCATGTACGTGATCTATTTCTTGTCTTCAAAATGTGTTGTTGTCTACAAATTCACTTGCAGACAAAATATGAAAATGGTTAGGTTTTCTCAAACCACACTTTTTACTTTATTGGTTAACTCTTAACGTATGGATTACGTATTCAATGAAAATTTATGTTATCTATGGTGCCTATCCTTTTGTGGAAAAACTAGCATGGGGCACGTCATGTTATGGAGCTTTGAAAAAAGAGCAATGACGTTCAGATATTGCAGGGGAAGATTGAATTAGGCGGTAAGGTTGGAAGGCTTGACCTTCCACTTGAATAAAAAGTAAAACGATGTTTAGATATCTTTCTCTAAACTTTTCGTGTATCTTTGCTTTACATACTTAAGTGAAAAAACAAGCAAAAGGCATGCATGAAATAGAAGAGGGCATGTAAATAACGTTATTCCTAAATAATTGACTTCTTTGTAAAATTAGAGGAAAAAAATATATGGTTCGATAAATTAGATTAGTTTCAAGTCTTCAGTGATCCAGGTGATTTTTATTTAGTTAAACGAAAGGAATAGGATATTGTTATGGTGCCCATTACAGAAAAATTCAAAGTTAACTAAATAGAAAGAGCAGAATAACTGCCAACTAAAACATGCATGTTAGTAGACGATATTTAAGAATCATTGTAAGCTCTCTAGTGCACTGATGACAAGCTTTGGCTTTAAAGGGGATGAGTTTGCTCTCCTCCCAAACTTTTATCTACCAAGAAAGAATGGATCAACCCCAAAAAAAAAATTTCAAGGAATGAGTGCACAGTGCAAATGATTGATTAGAGATGGAGCCTTGTAGATTGAATATATAATTTGATTTCATAAAAAGTGGTAGTAAAGTGTAGATACAGCTTGATGAGGAAGAGACCAATAATGCAGTTTGTTTCCCCACTTATTAAAAAAATTTGCTACATATTAAAAGAACATTTTAAGAACTAAATTCGGGCATAATATAATTATTCTTTTTGAGAAACATTTGAAATAACAGTATAGCACTTTTTATAGTATGACGTACTAGAAATAAAAAAAATATTGAAGGGATTAAAAAATTTTGAAAAACATGTTTATGAATTACAATTCAATGAATTTTTTTTTTTTTTTTTGCAAATAATACAACATGTTAATTGAAGAGTGTCTGGGATAATCACGGCTAAATAGCTGTCCTTCACTAGCATTCTTTGCAAACTCTGGGGCAAAAAAGAGAAAGAAAAAGTAGAGATGACGGAAGCATGATATAATTAGAATTTCACCTCTTAGGGAATCCAAGTACTTAACCTTAGACCTTGCCCTTTTTGGTGAAAACATAACCTTAGAATATAAGGTTCTATCTTAGTGATTAGTGTTTTGCATTGGATACGTTGTTTACCAATATTAATTAAAGGGGACGAATATGTTTTTCTCTTCTCTAGTGGGACATTGTTGAATTGACTGTCCTGTACATAAAGCAAATAAGGAATAAAAGAGGAGTAAGCTTTTTTTTTTTTTTTTTATACACTATCAATGTATAATTTTTTTTTACGCTAACAGATTTATATCATACCATATAATATGAATTCAAATTTAAAATTCAATTCATGTATATGTGACATACATTCATAACTACTAGTATAACAAAAAAAATCACTACGCTGTTAGTACATATATAAAATAGTTATATCGTAGCTCTTCTTTTCTTACAATTTCCTATATGAAATTAATTATTTGGCAACTTTCCTTTTCATGGATTCGAGATATTCTTAGTTTCTTACCATAGTTTGAGCATTAGTTTCATAGTTGGATGATTATGGCCTAAGTTTGGATGATAGAATTTCTTTTTTTGGTTTTTTTTTTTTTGGTTATAAGATTACAATTAACCACATAAATCCATACAGCTCAACCTTTGAAAAACACTACTCCTACAGTCTAACCCTCACTTGATGGGATGAATTTCAACACATACAATAAGATTACAATTTAGAGATACTATTATTACAAAGTGGATATAATTTTACGTCTTCATACACTTTTCTTTTTAACAAATTCA